CCAAGGATATGCTCTGCATTTGGTGGGATCAGAGAGGTGTTGTATATTATGAGTTTCTCGAACCCTCAAACTATTAATGGAGAAGTTTATCGACAACTAATGCATTTGAAGCGAGCCATAGAAGAAAAACGACTAGAATGGGTGGATAGGCACAGTAAATTAATTCTTCAACATGACAATGCCAAACCACATACCGCCCAAGTTGTGAAAAGATATTTAGATGGACCGGACTGGGAAATACTACTCCACCCGCCATATTCGCCAGACATAGCTCCTTCGGATTACCACTTATTCCGAACACTGCAGTCAGATCTTACAGGAGAACGGTTCACTTCATACGAAAGTATCAAAATTTGGCTTGATAATTGGATCAGCTCAAAAGACCAGAATTTCTTCAAGCGAGGAATACGTAAATTACCTGAAAGATGGGCGAAGATTGTAGCTGCAGATGGAGCATTTCTTTCAATAAACTTTTCTTTAATTTTCTAAACAAGCAAATGTGTTTTATTTGAAAAAAAAAAGGGCCGAGTCATTCACACACCTAATAGCCCATATCACAGGTGATGTTTGGACTAATCACCATAGAGATAAACGTGACAAACCGAGAAAAGAAAAAGAGGATAAGGAATTGAAGAAGCAAGAACGACTACAAGATCGTGTATTGAAAGCTCAACAAATGGCAGCTGCTAAATTGGCTCGTTCGATGAAAAAAGAGAAGCATTTAGAGGAAACGAGGCAAAAAGAAGCTGTTAAGGGTAAGGAAAAGAGTCCCAACGTTGTCGCCAATAAGAGAGGAATAAAGAGGAAGCAAGTGGAGATTGCAATCAAAGGACAGAAGCCAAATGTGGCCAGAGAGCTTAAAAAAGAATTATTGGATGATAGTGTTGACGTTGGGAAAGATACCCACAGTCCTCCAGCGAAAATTCCTTTGAAAAGAAAATGTGACGAGGAATGAACCAAAGCTAATTTATGTACTGAGCCGAGTACCGTGTTACATCGTCTACTTTTGATAACAGCTTATAACAATTTGCTTACATAATAATATACTTAAAAAACGTTGATATCTTTTTCACCATTGATCAAGACGAGGAATGGTCAAGAAGGGAAAAATGGGGACGGCTGTCGATTGAATATACAGCAAATTATCTCGCTAGGGAATCTCATTTTTTGTTTAATAGTTTACCGCCTTTTTTACTCCAGTGGAATAATGAATTGGGAACTTATATGAAAAAAATAAGCTTTGCCGAAAATATGATTCCTCGCAGACTCAATTGTCAGCCATTCTTGTTTGACGCTTGCCCTTTTAACTATTCCTCGTTTCACCGTTGCTCATTTTACCATTTTCCATTTGTTCATTCTCCGTTTGACCATTCCTCATTCGACTCACGACTCTTGATTTCCTGAAATTCTCTCTATTAGTCCCCTTTAATTTATCACGTCCGGAAACTGGGCCCACGATTTCCGGAAACACGGGTATGGCGGTATTCGGCGCCCGGAAACTCGATCATGGAGGTTACTATACGTTTTTTTCAATTATTTATAAATTCTCAAACATTTGAATGAAAATCAAACATCATTCTATCGGAAAAAAACATCATAGAGACCTGTGAACCATCAGACTTCATATTTGGTGGAAAAAATAGAATTCACGTGTTATTGATTTGTGGAGAATCCTTACTCGCCAGAAAACTGGGCCCCTCACGGTATATCGTCGCTACCGTTCAGCAGCCATTTCTGCAAATTTCGTCTGTTGAATTTTAGATTTATTACAGTTATCACCTACTTGATCGGCCCAATTAGAATTTTGACTCGTCATCATCGATTATTCTTGTTTAATTCCTACATTGTTTTCAAGGACGACATTGTTTCTGTCTCTCCTTCGCTTTCTCACACTCTAGATTCATTTTCTCGATTTTCAACATCCGTTTCTTTTCCCTACACTGCCGTTGTCGCTCAGCATCACTTCGCGGTATTTTTTCATTCTCATTTTTGTCTCCATTACTTTTATCAACATGATTCCCTCAATTTGCACTCTTTATTGAAAATAATTGTGTTTTTTCAATTCAACCTGCCACTAATATTCTCAAATAATTTCAAATCATCTCAAATAATCTTCAATTATCAATCTTGTTTTATTTTTGTTATCAGTTCTCAACAAACTATTCAATTTTCAAGGATTTTAATAGCGATATGATTATCGCAAAAATATAGAAATCGTAAACTGTAGATCCACTTTACTGAATCATAATTGATATATAATCATTAATCCCACAGTTGCATCTAAAAGGCAATCTAAAAGAATGGAAATTTTTTACTCACAGCAGTATTGTTTACCAAAAATTATATATAATATCAAAGCGACCTTTCCTTGGCACTCTATTATTTCTCGAAAAAGTTGCACCATCCCAGAATGAAATTCAAATTTGAAATTGTTCGTCTGTGAACCGCTTTACCCTGAATCTTGTAATACAAATACCAACGTGAAGTGGAGCTCATACTTTATTTTGTTGATAACTTCACCTCAGGAACAGGAATCAAATAAACGAAATCAGATGGAGTTTCTAACGCCTTATCGGGATGATCGAATTCTTAAGGGGTCGTAACGTGTTTGTGAAGCATTAAGTCTTAAGGGTATATTTGAAAGTAATTGAATTTTTTCACCCAAATATGAGATATTTCCACAGATTTGAATAAAAACCCAGTAAATCCCGTCATTAATGGAAAAACATGGAAATTTTCAAAAAGTGACATGCTAAATCACTATATTATCGCTTATAACAATTGATCTATTCAATGGAATAGATAATGTATGATATTACTTTGAAGATCTCAATGAGACCTTCAAATTGACGTATGATATAGCTTCTCTGGTTGAGTCGAAAGCCTACATTGATAAATGGCAAAAACTGTCATTCTTGGCGTGTGACATAACGTTCAAAATTAAAACAATCTGCGATAGCTTGATGAAAAACCCATTGAATCAGGATTATTATACACCCTTTTTGAAGGGTACGTATCGTTCTTCAAAATGGTTGGGTAAACAGGTCAATTTCTGGACGGGGGTTAGTTTCTGGACGATTTCAACTTGCATTGAATATTCCACAAATAAAATGACAAGTGTATTCATTATTTCACCTCTCCATAATATCCCTTGTGTATAATCATGTGATCAATTATTTTCTTCTATTGATCAACATTTAATAAATAAATAAAATATCACCCAGTCGTCCAGAAATTGGGGGTTTCGGCTACATTCAACTATTTCTCAATTCAATTATTCTTTGTTTTGTTATTTTCACTTTAAACAATTTTTTTCTGCCAATTAAAACATTCTTGAAGGTATGGAAGCCATCATATCCCCATTTAAGTAATTCTTTTATTTTAGATTCTACCACGAAACTCGAATTTCCTTTCACCGTCCAACAATTGGCCTGGTCACCCTATATAAATAGATCCATTCGCTTGACCGATAGTTGCAAAAAATCCAATCCAAGCTGAATTCACAATAAAATCATGAAATTCCATTTTCTGCATAACACCTTTCATAAGTCAATGAAAATTGGAGACAAATGAATAAATCAGGGGTCAATTTCAAGGTAATTTAATATATTTTCACCTAAGTAGGGAATATTTTCACAGATTTGAACACAAATTGAGCAAATCTCGTCATCAAGAGGAAAAACGTGGAAATTTTCAAAACGTGAGATGCCAAAATCGCTACATTATCGCTTATAACAACTAATGTAGTCGATGGAATAGATAATATGAGGTATTATAATAATATGACATATGATAAATCCCCGCTGATCAAGTCTAAAGCCTCGCTAAATAGCAAAAACTGTCTTTTTTTTAGGTGACATAACGTTAAAAATGGAAACGATCTGTAATAACTTGATGAAAATTGAATTAAATGAGATTTATCAGACACCGTTGTGAAGAATATAAAATGCCCTTCAAAATGATATATAGATATTTCTATCTAGTACTCTTTGAAGTATCCAAAAATCCAACCAAATGAATTTTTTAAGTGAAACAGAAACATTGAATTTTCTCCTAAAACTTTCATAAGTCAATGAAAAATGGTCAGAATTGAACAAATCAGGTGTCAATTTGAAGCTTATGTAATAACCTTTCGAATGAGTATGTAGTTAACCATACTAAATGTATGTTTCATGGAATAGGGAGATGGACTTGAGCATTGAAAGCAAAGAGAGAAGCCTGGTAACACTCACGGATCTTTATCTTTTGGATCGTCGAAAAATTAAATTTGAAAATGCTCACATACATACATAAGGATATGATCTAAAAACTACATCCTCGAACTCCTGAGACCAAAATTAGTCATCCTCACACAAAAAAATGGAAAATACAGATTTGACGAATACAATGCTTCCATTCGGAAGCACAAATTGTTGCGGTCGGAGTTGGAGGATTATTTTTCGTATACATATTATTTAGATCCTGAAAGACAGTTGAAGAAAAAATTGAGCTTATATTGTTTTCCCGTATCTGTTGTTTTCACATCTCTGACGCCTAGACTAAGAACCTTGATGGATATACCCAATTAATTTTGAACCTTTTTTCCCATCAAAATTGCAGCCAACATCACTGTACCATGAAACGCAATCAACTGTCAATTTCAGCGAGTTCACTAGCCTGAAATGTCTTTTTCGTGAAGAGGCCCGGTAAACCGCGATTCTAACCTCGCTTCGCTCGGTTAGATCTCGGTTTACGGGCCTTCTGACGAAAAATTGCATTCATCACACGGTCCAAAAGTATTTTCTGACGAATGTGGCTTTGTAGGCCGAGCCGAAGGCGAGGCCTATAATCACATTCGTCAGAAAATACTTTGTGGACCTTGTGATAAAAATAACTATTGTTTTTTATAGAGCAACTTTTGGTTTTTAATGGCTGAAATTTGGATAGAAAAAATAATCAAGAAAATCGGAAAGGGAATCAGAACAGATAATCAAGTGAAAGTGATAAAATAAAATAGATACCCTAATCTGACACCTCCTGGAAAGTCTGCCTGTACTCTCGCACCCAGGGGAATTATTCTAACCTCGCTGATGTAAACTGGCTTTGGGAATTGCACCAAATCTAAGTTCAATTCCTAGAGCGTAATTTGAAAAAATGTTCCATTAATTCATCATCAATCTCCCATTTTGACATGTTTGAATTTGTTAGAATTCAATTCACCTCAGAAATATCATGGGAAAAAGTATCGAAAAATAACAATTCCACACTATCCATTTTCCTTACATGGAACCACTGAAATTTATCAATTTTAATTTATCAAAACTCAGAATTATTATTCAATAATGCATGGTTTTCACTAACATTTTTGGCACTCAATAATCACTTTAAAAAAACAGCAATAAAACTGAAAAAGATTATCCATTCTTAGGTGAGTGTTTTCAGTGGGCGACAGGGTCAGAGATTATAGGGGAGATCGGCAGGGCCATGAAGAATAGAGACCAGGAGGCCGAACTGTAATGGCCGATTCCTCAGAATACGCGACCAAACATGGTTCCTTGAAATAGTTGCGTCGGAGTGAAAGAGGGCGCTTCATCTCCGTTACTCGGGATTCACATATATAGTCCTCCGCACAATTGTGTTAGTAGAAAAGTTTATCTCTGAATTTTATTTGTTATTAAATGTTGTTTGAAATTCAAAATAATTTTTCGGGAAGATAATTAATGTGCAGAACTAAAAATGAGAACGTTGTGTTCATTTCCGAACTGCAAGACCGGTACAAATGCAGAAAAAGTTCGGAATAAGGCATATGGTCTCTTGTTTTTATTATCAAATAACACCAAAGGTTATGATAGTATCAGAATAATATTATATTGTTATCATTAAAGAAATGACCATTAACAGAATTTTCGGTTTTCATGTTTTTTTTTATTACACACATTGCATGTCACAAATTATACAATTACGGAACAAAAAATGATTCATAAAAAAAGCAACTTATTCAGTAATTCTATGACCGTTGCCAGATGATCAAGAGATTTTATTCTGTCACATGTTAGCCATGGTATGACTTCGTTGTTGGACAAAAATCCTCAACATATAATGGTTTGCAAAATTTTAATATACAATTAAATCTCAGATATTATATACAATTAATCATCAAATTCACTATTTGCAATTAATTTATCATTCATAAAAAAATTTATGTACAATTGTAGAAATCACCCGAAATCCTAGGCGATTGATGTCGATTCAATTATGCTCCTGGTCATGATGGATCTCTTTTTGATTGATATCATTAGACTGACTGACTGATATCACTGACTGACATTCTAGTGGACTCTCCAGAATCCAACTAAGGAAATAACAGATAAATATCACGATTACATTGTTTTCAACTTATGAGCATTCAACATTTTATTTACGATAATCAACACTAACCTAGAAGACGTCAGACATCTCAGTTTTTATAGTTGACTTGTACAGAAAATGCTTACCCCTTCCGTGGAAGTCATTGCCTACATGTAATTAGTTTTTTGCGATATTCAATCACTCAACAAAGTAGTTCGTATAAAAATGGATAAACATTTAAAGGCCAGGAATTATTCAGTACGTTATTTTCATACACCTACACACCACACAGGCAGCATTCCCCCACTACTGCCATTCGGAAAAGCGATTGAACCACCACCTATAACACTTCATTACCCCGAGCAGGGTTGGGCATATCTCGCAGATGGAAGTTTCTGACGTGACATTGTCTAATTCCGGTAATTTACCTCTGGGGCGTCAAAAATGTCAAAAAGTGTCAGAAAGCTCTTTACAAGGAAGCTAAGCTAAAAAGTCACAAGGGTCAAAAGTGAGAGGCACATCGGCCGGAAATCGTTAAGATCAAACGATCACGAGGGTTATCCTCGCGAAGGTTGAACATCGCAAGGGTTATGCCTTCTTAGGGTCAAACAACGAAAGCAATCCTTCAATCTGGAGGGTGAAACTAATAAGAGGGTCAACGGGGGACACCAGGCGGTTCAATTACAAGGTTCCAACGGTCATAAAGTTTAAATAAAAAAAGCAAGTAGGTTCACAAGGGTCAAGCAGGTCACTAGGTCGCCGCCTAGTTATCCTGATTGACCCTTATGATTTACCTACTTTGTGATTGTTTCTTGATCGTTTGTGATTTTCCAGCTTGCCTGCGTCTTAATTTTAACTCTTGTGATTTTTCAACTTACCTCTCCTGTAGGCAGAACAATGACAAGGGTGGAATGATCATGAAGTAAGAAAAAATAATTTGAAACTATTCCGTTTGGTCTTTGTTGTTGCTTATGATCATTTGACGCTCGCAAGTTATGATTGTGATGTTTGACCCTCGCAAGTTATGATTGTCACGTTTGACCCTTGCGAGGTATGACCTTTGCGACGATTGATCCTCGCGAGGCATAACCTCAGTGGGTATGATTTTTTCGAATTTTGACCCTTGTAACTCTGACAAGCGGTATTCTCGGTAAAAATGTCCCGGTTCTCCAAGGTGCTAATAGATGGCGCCACATAGGTTTTTGATAGGTCAAAAAGCCAACAACTCGCCCGGGTAATTTACCTACTTTATGACCGGCCAAAAATCATGTAATTTACCTAAGGTAATTTACTTGCCCAACCCTGACCCCGAGTATGGTCTCGGATCGGAAAACGCTAGTTCGGCCTCCTGGTCTCTATTCTTCACACTGAAATGTAGTATATACTGGAAAGGGCACTGATCCGCCTGACGCGAGCCGACAGAGAGCGGCGATTTTCAAGGATACCTATCTCTCTCGTACCGTCCACTCAAAAAGTTTTCTTACCTTCTAGAACGTATAGAATTCAGTATTGGCCTTCAATTTTTGTTGTTGCATCATTATAACATAGAATTGATCATTTTTTTCCAATGTAATAATACTCGGGCCATTTACAATTTAATTAAAATAATTCCACATGGGAAAAATACAAAAAAATATACAATTCAAGAGATTATTTGTTCAATCAATCTGAAGGTGTATCGAAATCCTCTGAGTCGATATCGTCATCAGTATTCGAATTTTGAAATTTAGGTATGTCCAATATAATTCCTGAAACAGAAAGTATAAATTGAATGATATAGGTTTTATTTTGAGGGAATTCCAGAGACTCTCAAGTTCAGTAAAATGCCTCGTGTGTCGAGGAGTTGAATTGGAATCTGTTTATATCTATTTGTCCCAATACTGCAATAAAAAATAAGAATATTGTGATTGTGAATTTTTTTAATGCATGAAGAATACAAGAGAAATCCAATGAAAACAACATCAAAATACACGATTTTTCCTCTAATTTTCTACGAAATAGCTGTTCGTGGATTAGAGGATATTTTTTTATTCTCACAATGGGACAATTATCGCCAAGACGTAAATAGCAACAATTGAGTGTGCACCACTCAGAGTACATAAGCTTTTTAACTCGCATGTACATGCTCGTTCTACGCATGCGCAACGCCTCCTAGAGTGAGACAGGTATCCTTGAAAATCTACCTTTCTCTGGCTCGTTTTCCGCTTACGGGCCTAACATGGCAGTGCCATTTCCAGTATATACTACATTTCAGTGATTCTTCATGAACAGGGCCAATGTAAAGTGTTTAAAAGCAAAATTTATAGCGGTGGCGCATGGACTACGATGGAGCGTACGGAACTGTCGGTATGGTAGGGCCCCAGTATAAATTTGTTGATAACCGGAAAGAGGTTCTCAATACGGTAGCTCCTCGCATTTTGTAATAATTATCAGGAATGGAAAATCGAACATATTATAATCAATAGTATAATGAATGCAGAATCTAATGTTCTAATAGTATGTTTCGTAACGAGTGCAAAAAAGTGTTTTTTGGCGAGTGGGAGGATATAATCCCACGAGCTAAAAAACATTTTTTCATGAGTTACGAACAATATTTTTCATCACAATGTGGCGGAAATTGAAAAAGTCTTTTCCTTTTTCTCGACATATTTTTTATTGACACGTAGGTCAAAAAATTCATAGAAAATCCCAGCGCTGTCGCTGGAAAACTATAGTTTTCCAGTGATTCTATTGCATAATTATGCAGATTTTGTTTTTTTACTATAGTAATGTTCGATTATATATATTTTCATCACGCTGTGACGAAAAGTGAACTTTTCGGCACGCTCCGCGTGCCTAAAAGTCCAATTTCCGCCACATTGTGATGAAAAATATTGTTCGTAACTCGTGAAAAA